AACGAGCTGAAGCTAGAGGCTAATGTCTGAATTAAGGCCTATTGTCTGAATCATAAACTATTGTCTGCAGCTGAGCTTTGAAAGTTTGAAGTACTAAATTTAAACTGCTAGCTGAATGAAGTAGACCCGTTTGACAAAAAGAGCTGAAAAATTGTCTGAATAATATGAATTGCCATTAAAGGGCATATGAATAATATAATTAATTCTGTTGGGTTAATGGCCCAATCAAAGGATCGGCCCATTACCCCTACTTAGACAAACGTCTTGGCCCATGGAGTGGCGTACCCCGACGCTCATCTAGGCCCAAGGAAGGGACGCATCTCAGTACAAAGGACGAGGCGACGAACGTCTCCACCTATGATCCACACCCATTAGGGGTCCTCTTCAAGCAACATGACAAATTCTGCCAAGGGCCAGAATACGAACGGTCGCAACCTTCTGTGGCATCGTCAGGAGCATGCACCAGAACTAAATGAACGTCCGTCTCCACGAATTAGGCGGGAAACCTAGATTCTGGCGGGAGGCGCATTTAATGCTGGGGATTTGGTGGTTGAGACATCAGCCACTCACAGCCTTCCACATCAGCATAGTCAACTGCTCATTGGTAGTATAAATAGTAACATTTATTTCATTGTAAGGGATTGACAACTTATCATCCTTAGCACTCTAGCTTATTACTCGCAGCTCTTCTACTACAGTAGAAGACGAACGGCCTTCGGCCTTAGCAAGTGTATTGTATCGGGGCGTTATTCATTATTAATAATATCTGATCCTTTACTTATTCGTAATTCTCTTAGCCCATCTTACTTGTTGTTGGATCAGTTAATCTACCATACTTAAACAATCTACTCGAAATCCTTGGGCTTACGTGTTGGACCCGAGGGTTGAAAGAATAAACTTCAACAATAAATATTTATATTTTGATAAATATTAAGATTGTAGCACATATTTATATGTGTGTACGTATATAAGAAAATATGGTACATTGAATACAAAAAAAATTATAAACATTTCTGTATATGAAAAATAAAAAATATTAAAATTTCACATCTTACTTGGAAATAGTTATGACAGATAATATAAACATATACAGATGAAGATCATCGTAGTAGAGTATAATCATAATAAAGCCGGCATGGTATAACTTCCCTAAAACAATTAACGAAACAAAATTATCTTCAAGAGCGCTACAGGGAAGGAAACTTTTGTGAAGCAATGGAGTGCTTTTAACATTTGTTTAAGTAAACAAGATAAGCTTGAGGGATTTTTTTTTGTCGGTTCCCATGAACCCTAGTACTGCCGCCGTCTCGGGGTCGACTGCAATCACATCTACAGCAGTCTTTGATCATTTGAGGATGAGCGCGGCTGATATGGCGCAGACCACCTTCTTCGCGTTGCTGACCACGGTGCATGCTTCCAGCGTGCCGTTGAGTTCGCCGCCTGCTGCTGCCTACGTCTGCATATCCCACCTTCTCTGTGTTGCTCACCATGGTGATTGCTTCCAGCGTGCCGTTGAGTTCGCCGCTCGCTGCTGCATACTCCCATTCTCTAGCCGAGTCCAGTTCGGCTGCTCGCACAACTATTCCAGAGCGCTACGCCAGTCCCACCCTCTCTGGTGATCATGACATGATCTTGTCATCTTCTGTCGGGCTTGTTGGACATCGGCCGGGATCCTCTCCGATTCCCACTTCATTCACTTCTCATGCTCAAGGTATATTCAGGGGTCTCCAAATCATGGATGGTATTGGCAGCCTACTCCGGCATACATCAGACATCCGGCTGCAGATCTACGTCAGGGTTTGCTGTATTTCTTGATCCTAATCTAGTTTCTTGGAAGTCCAAGAAACGACCTACTTGCTCATGGAGATCTTATTCTCAAATGTGTGTTTCCTAGTCTTCAACTGACGGATATATTTACTAAGAGCCTTTCTAGTCTGCAACTTCACATTTTTTAAAGAGCACGTTGTATCTCTCGCACAGTTTGAGGGGTGTAATAGCTTAAGATCTATTTAGGAATATGCCTAATATCTATTTAGGAATACTTTGTATTTTGGTAACTATTCTATTATAAATATATCTGTCACGACTTCTATTGGAGTACCATTTCCCATCATTTCACATATTTGTGATATTATAATTGAAAAAAAAAGAAACCTAAGTCTTGTGGTTTGTGTACGTTGCAGGTGAGCAATTAAGAATTGGAATGAAGAACGGAATAGACGATCAGACGAGGAATCACAATGGCAGTGCAAGGATATTTTAGGTATGAACGGGTATTATATCACCGACTTATTAGAAACGTTAGGTTCCCAAGCGTTTGAGTCCAGACATTTTTTTTCCAACTTCAGCTAAGTGTAGATTGTTATCCAAACGGGACTACTAATAAAATTATGGGCTGAATTTAGGAAATTTCTGCCCATTATGAATTGAATTCTCATGCCAAACATAGCCTAGGTATAACATGAATGAACTTGTCAAAGATCTCACCTATTTATATGAACTATGATGTCCATATAAATAGAGACAAGTTGTCTATAAGAAAAATTAAAATTGAAAACGAAGTAAATTTCTAGATTTATAAATTAATAAATTCAAAGCAGTACATGTGCACGGACATTAGTTGTCTGCACACAAACATTTTTTGTATGTTGCAAATAACTCATGTCTGTATACATCAAACTATTGTTTGCGCATAGGCATTGGTTTGCGTGCAATTGACGTGTACTCTACAAAAAAACACAAATTGATGTGAATAGTATTTTAATCAGTTTTTTATTTCAAGGAAAGCAATGTCTGTGCACAAACAACTATTGTTTGTGCACAAACAACTATTGTTTGTGCACAGTTATTTCTAGTATGTTGCAAACAACTAATGTATGCTTATGTCAGCATTATTTGTCTGTGCACAAACAACTTATTTCTGCGCACAAACAAATTAGTTTTGTGCACATACAACTAATATTTGTGCACAAACATTGGTTTGAATATACTAATATATTAATTTTATTTTCCGACGACGTTTCATTAATGATTATCTTTCCAATTTCGAAAAAACTTGAAGATTTGAGTAAGATAGAATATGGTAAACTTGTCACACTAGTGATTTTCTATATTTTGGACGAATCTCCAATAAATATATAAATAAGAAAAAAGAAGACGAAAAGGAGATATGATGATTATATAATAAAGAAATGAAACTATATAATGATTTCTAACTGGTATAATGATTTTAAGGAAGACATTTCGGATATTAACTATATTTTGCCTAATATAATTATTTGGAACTTATGGAAAATTAGAAATGCTTTACTCTATGATGATAAAAAAGCCTATCTTCCTGAGGCGATTAAAACTATAAAAACTGAAATCTTTATTATCTCCATTGCGAACCCTATCACCTCTTCTCACCCTCAAACTCCGTTTCCTTTCCACACCATTAGGCCTAAGAAAAACAATTTGAAGCAGGCACAAAATTTCTGGATAAAACCTCCTCCTTCATTCCAGAAAATCAACATAGCCACACGCTCCCTTAGTTCTAATGTTATTAGAACAGCAGCTCTCTTTCGAGATGATGTTGGTAACTATAGAGGTCATATGAGCTTTATTTCTAACACCAATGATCACACCATGGCAACCTATGATGCAATCATTGATACTCTTAAGACCATTAGTGATATGCATCTTACCAACTTTGTGATTGAGGTAGAAAACAGGGACATTTTTGATGGGTTAACTGGTATGAAGATGCAACATTGGAAGACTTGGACTCGGATACAAGAAGTGAAACGCAAGATACAAGGCAACAATTGGTCCATCACTCACATCCACCCTACTATCAATAGGGCGGCCGAGTACTTAGCCTATAGAAAAATGTCTATTAAAACCAATAATCATCATTTTACTCATTTTGTTGGAATCCTGAAGTTTGACGCCATTAGCTATCCTTATGTTCTCTAATCTTTAGAGTAGGCATTGGTTTGGCCCTCCTACTCTTTGTAATTTTCTTTCTTCCTAATAAATTGGTAGGGTGTTCCCTGGCCCCTACCCCAAAGAAAAAAAAAAAAAAAAAAAAAAAAAAAAAAAAAATAAAGAAATGAAAAAGGATGAGAAAAAAGAAATAAAAAGAGAGGAAGTGGTGAGTGAGTATGAAAGGAGGGGGAGAGGAATGTAAGAAGAGAGAGAAAGGAGTGAGGGAAATATGAGAAAGAAGTGGGAGGGTAATTTTTGTTTTCCTATTTATATGGTGTAGACAAAGCATAATTGCCAAGTTAATTATTGCCCCATTATGTGTGTTCCTTCCCCTTCTACTCTTGTCATGTGCGAAATGGTTTCACCATCTCAACACTCCTACTCACTTCTTGTGGGCAAAATCTCTCTACATAACCTTAGGGGTGGACCGGGCCCGGTCCAGTTCCGGTTCGGGCCTAGATCTGGGCTCGGCCAGGTTTGGATGGTTCTAAGTGAGGTCCGAGACTGGCCCGAGAGTCTACCGGTTCCGGTGTAATTTTTTTTGTGTTTTCTGATTTATTTCAACCCCCACCCCCCAAATCCCTCGAAAACACCCAGCCCACCTAAACCCAGCTCAAATCCAAAAAAAAACCAAAAACATAATAATAAAAGGTCTTAACTGTGGCCATGCCTACATGACCTCCCGTAGTCCCGTAACACCCCAAAATACGATGTGTCAGCTTTATGAATTGCGAGCCCGTTTGGTAGCACCAAAATCGGCTGTTTTGGCTGATTCTGCTGAAATTTATGATATTCTGGCTGGAGTGGCTGTTTTGGCTGATTCTGCTGATTTAAGAAAAAAATATTTTAAAAATATATTTTATTAATAAATTAAAGAAAAAATTATATGTAAAAATAGCTAAAATGGCCCTCTACAGTAACTTCAGCCAATACAGCCAGAAAAGTAACTCCAACCTTACTTTTTCGGCTTATTACACAATTTAGCGCGCGAAAGTAAAAGTTACGTGTTTGGTGAAAAAGCTGGCTGATAAGCCTGATAAGCCGAAAACAGAGTTCTCCAAACGGGCTCTGCATTTTATAAATTTGTGAGATGTATAAAGGTTATAAATTTTATGAGTCACTTTCTATAAATAGTGTGACACATAAAAGTGAATGTAAACAAGGAGATACACCTTATGTATCACTTACTATTGAATCCCACACATAAATTTAAAGTATATTCATCCCACAAGGCCACATTTCAGACTTAAATGGGGCATATACAATAGTAGTAAAATAGACATGTGTGGACGTTTGCTAGAATAAACAAGACCTAAAAACAAATAAATGTGCCACCATGAGCCAAGTATCGAACCAGGCGGGCTTGTTAAATAGGTCTTGCCCCCATCCCACTTTTTGGCTCCACTCCGTCCATGTCAATGAATCTATGATCGGACCCTCCACCAATTGCCTCATAAATAAATGGAGAGACAAGAAAGTTAATTAGCACCGCAGTCATCGTCTATATCCTTTTTCTTACCCGGAGAGAGGAGCTGCAATGGTATTGATCATAGAGGGGCTGCGCTGGGCCGGTTGTACGTTAGAAGGCAGGCAATAAAGACAGATGAGAAGATAAATAAATACATGCGCATGCAACAAGCTGTTTGTGATTCTTAGATATGTATATGCAGACAGATAGACGACAGATGCAGAAATTAAATTCACAAAATATGACATTACAACCAAAGCAAATTAATTAAAGTCTCATGTCATAATAACAGCAAATTAAACACATCACAGATCTTCTCAACCAATTCACTTTCCGGGAGCAAAGTTAGTGGCAAATGCCCAGGCGTTGTTGTTAACAGGGTCGGCAAGGTGGTCGGCGAGGTTCTCCAGCGGCCCCTTTCCGGTCACAATGGCCTGGACGAAGAAGCCGAACATGGAGAACATCGCCAGCCTCCCGTTCTTGATCTCCTTCACCTTGAGCTCCGCGAAGGCCTCCGGGTCGTCAGCCAAACCGAGCGGGTCGAAGCTTCCACCCGGGTAGAGCGGGTCGGTGACCTCTCCGAGCGGGCCTCCGGCGACGCGATAGCCCTCCACGGCTCCCATCAGGATGACCTGGCAAGCCCAGATGGCCAAGATGCTCTGCGCGTGGATCAGGCTCGGGTTCCCCAAGTAATCCAGGCCTCCTTCGCTGAAGATCTGGGCTCCGGCCTTGAACCACACCGCCTCCCCGAACTTCACCCCGTTCCGGGCCAGCAGCTCCGGGAAGATGCAGCCCAGCGCGCCCAGCATCGCCCACCTGCTGTGGATCACCTCCAGCTCCCGGTTCCTCGCGAACGTCTCCGGGTCCGCGGACAGACCCGCGGTGTCCCATCCGTAGTCGCCCGGGAACTCGCCGTTCAGGTAGCTCGGCGCCTCCCCGGAGAACGGGCCCAAGTACTTGACGCGGTCGGGGCCGTACCACGGGCTGCCGGACGGAACTGATGATCGGAAGCCAGTCCTTGACGAAGTGGTTCTCCTCATGGTGATCTTGGGGGCCACCCGGGACCTGCCCGCCTTTCCGGCGGCGGCGGCGTAGGAAGGAGAAGACAGAGCCATGGCGGTAGAAGCTGCCATTCCAACTGTACTGCAGCGAGTGAGTGAAGGTAGATGAGAATTGAAGTAGATGAGAGAGGTTGCTTGATAACCATAATTATCGATGGATCTGAGCTATTTATTTATGTGGAGTCCAAAAATGGATGCCCTTCCTTATCTCCTAGGATCTCAATCTTGAACTCCATTGGTTGAATATTTTTGAATGGTTGAAAATGGCCCTCCATTTTGGCCTTCTCTAACACCTCCAACTTTCTTTTCTGTGGATAATGAACCACCAAAATGTCGATACCACCAACGCAGCAACCACTCATCTTTTGCCATCTGTCAATCGGATTGCTCCAAATCTTCACAGATTCCAAATGCCGATCAGCCAACTTTTTGTAATGTACACTACTATTTTAGCTGTTTTGTAATTTTAGTCCCGTTCTTACTTATCTTACTTTATTTTTTGAATGGTTAATAAATAAATGTTTGATTTTGTTTTATGAAAGAAATATGTTGTTTATAACATTTTCAATAATTATATTTAAGTTTGAATCACAATTTTTATTTATAACTTATTTACGGAGTATTAATTATTGCACCAAAACAAAGTAGGACACATAAAACAGAATGAGGGTAACATTTTTTATTTTACACACTGAATTGTATAATAATCAAAATAAGTAAGATCAAAGTTACAAGAGTGTATAATCAGAAATCATTCCTCTGTTACTTTTAGGAAAAGTTGACACGAAAATTACATCTTTGGGCGATCTTCTCATAATAATCTCATTTTACGTAATTCAAGAATAATCTCACATTTGCACTCCTTCTTTCATGGGACCTTGACCGGGTGACCTACTATGCCAAGTTTTTTGCATTTGTTTTGGAAAACTTACACAAATAATCTCACCTTTTACAAATATGCTCAAAACAATCCTATGTTTCATTTTTTCTCTTTTCCCTCTAAAAGTTTTCTTTCTTTATTTTATCCATAGACACTTTTTTTTATTCTTTTTCCATCATTTTGTTCTTATTTCTTTTTCATATTTATTATTCTATTTCTCACTCTATTGGAAGTTTTTTTTTTGTAAAATCAATTTCGTTCCCAAAAACATTTTTTTATCATTTTCTTTTTCTTCCCATATTTTTATTTCATTTCTTAGTCATTCTTTTTTATTAAAGATCTTTTTTCTCATTCTACTTTTTATTATAATCTCATCTTGTTACGTTTTTAAATGTTTTATCTTCTTTCTTCTTGTTATCTTAATTTCTTCATCAATATTTTTTTTCGCTTTTCTTCATTATCGTATTTTTCGAAGTAAATCCACTCATTAATTCTATCAATTGTGGGAAGAACTCTCTGTGATAAAAATTAGAGCAAAGTAAAAATTCACGAAAAATAAAGCAATCGTAAATTGCATCAACTAACTCTTGCTTCGTGGCATTATTGCCTCTAATTTTCCTCCTATTTTATTGACCCTAGTATCCTCTCCCTTATGGTCAACTCCTAGGGTCGGCCCTACGCTCCAGGGCCTTAAAAACGTTCATGGATGACCGTGGTTCTAACAAAAAATTCTGTAAGAAAATCCTCACAATCTCTCTAGGCTCCTCTGCTTGGGATATGATATTACAAATAATAGAACTTATATCCTTGCAATCTCACTGCTGCATGCAGTCATGCAGATTGATCATCGTGCCATTTTGCTTAGGCTTGAGAGGGATGACTGAACCTCTTCCATGTCTGGCCGATCTTCAGGGTCTGTTGAAGTGCAAGACAAAGCTAAGCTTAGAACTTCTCGCATTGCACCCTCGTTCTTTGAAACACTTGTGGCTAGATAAGGATCAAGAATCTGAAGTAACCCCTTGCTGCCGCTGCTATCAGCAATGGCTTTCTCCACAAGTTGATGCAATGTGATTGGCTGATGATCATCCTCCCCTATATGCCCAGTTGGCCTTCTCTTTGTCATGAGCTCCATGGCTATTACGCCGAAACTGAATACATCCACTTTCGTTGATACTTTCCTCATATACGCAAACTCTGCAACACACATGAACTTTTTATTTGTACTTAATTTTGCATCATATGCATTTCACCCTTCATGTCCTAGAAGTTCTCTTTTTCACAAAGCTTTTGAATAATTAAGTTTTTACAATTCAAAAGGTACTTCCTCAAATTCTTATCTTTATGTTCGGCAAAAGTTATTCATATATTCTGGAGCTCATATTTGGGAGTGAATTTAGATCTCCCCCGACCTTGTTTGGAGCTAATATCATTGGCAAAGTATTTTGACAAAAAATAGCTTAGATTTAGAAAAAATTCCTACTTCATGTTGAAAATTCCTTGAAATTATGTTTACTACGTATTGTTTTACAAAACATAAATGAAATTGGATTACATTATAAAAAGTTAAAAACAAATCAATACAACATTAGAACTACAAAGTTTTATTTTACACTCTTTTATTTGCAAATTAGAAATTTATAAATAAATTATTATCAAATATGGAGTACTGTTAATAGAAGAATATTGGGAAGAAGAAGAAGAAGACCTGGTGCAATGTATCCAATTGTTCCTTCAAATGCCGATGAAATGCTGCTGCTGAGTTCATGAATTCCCAACATTCGAGCAGTCCCGAAATCGCTGATCCGGGTATTCAAATGGCTGTCCAACAGAATATTAGAAGGCTTCAGGTCACAGTGAACTATGGGGAAATCATAACCCGAATGCAGGTACGTCAACCCTCGTGCGACCGATACCAAAACCTCAATCCTCTTTGACAGTGTCATCACCATCCTTACAGGTTCGTCGTCAACACCACTGTGTATGATTCTGTCCAAGTTCCCCTTCTCCATGTACTCTAAAACCAAAGCTTTCATCTTCTGGCTCTCCCACGCATAACCGCAAACCTTGACTAGATTCCTGTGTCGCAGTCGGCTTAGAGTCTTGACTTCTCTGTCCCAACACTTGTCTGATTCTGCAGAAAACTGTTTCAAGTTCAGTACCTTAATTGCCACAACCTGTCCATTCTCAAGCACGCCTCTGTAGACGGTGCTTAAACTGCTGGATCCTATGATGTTATCTTCACTGAATGAATCAGTGGCAGTTCCCAGTTCCTCTCTGGTATATCTCTTGAGGCTCAATGCAGCGGTCATTTCTGGAACTTTGCTTTTACTGTCTTTAACTTTTCGCTTAAAGATGAGCTGGTGTAGCAGTAGAGAAATCGCCAGTGACAGGAGAATGAGAACAAGAATAGAAGCCAGAGCTGCGAGAATGGTTATGTTTTGTCTTGACAATTTATGAGAATTCAGATGGTTGCAAGGCTTGAGCAACTGTTCTCCACACAGAGATGGATTTCCATCCAGATCTGTAGGACTAATATTTACAAATACACCTGTCCCTGGAATATGACCTTCAAGTTGGTTGAATGAAAGGTTGAGATGCTTTAAGGTACTGATATTGGCAAGGGTTTCTGGAATAGTGCCATTGAAATTGTTGTGAGAAAGGTCTAGAGATTGAAGATGTGGCATTCTTGCTAAACTTTCAGGAATTTCGCTGTGTAGTTGGTTATATGATAGGTTTAAGCTCACGATTTCGCTAAATCCACTGAAAACAGCATCCGGAATCTTACCAGATATATTGTTTCTGGAGAGATCAATAGAGAATAAGTTTCTGCAGTTCTTTAACGAACTGGAGACACTTCCTGAGAAGTTGTTGTTTGACAAGTCTATGGCTTGCACCATTTCCAACTTCCCGATCTCCTCCGGAATCTTCCCCTCCAAGTAGTTGTTTGACAGGTTAAAATAAAGTTGTAGACCTTTCATGCTTCCCACGAACCAAGGATCAAGATTTCCAGTGAGTCTGTTGTGTGACAAATCCAACACCACGAGCCTGCTAAGACGCATCATGTTTTTCGGGATTGTCCCATTTAACATGTTGCCGCTAAGATCAAGCTGAGAAAGCAACTCAAGTTTCGTGACAGAATCTGGAATCGGACCTACCAATCTGTTGTTCTGCAAATGGAGATATGTGAGCTGTTTAAGATCTACAAAGAGCTTATTGGGGATAAGCCCTTCCAACTCATTGTCAAAAAGTGTAAGCCCTTGCAGGTTTTTAAGCTTCGAGAGCTCAATCGGGATAACGCCTGAAAACTCATTTTTATGTAACACTAAATCCCTCAGATTCGTCAAATTTCCTATCTCTCTCGGGATATTGCCAATGAACGAGTTGTCACGCGCCCTTAGGATACGCAGATTGAATAGACCCCCTATGTTTGGTTTCATCTTTCCATTGAAATTATTCTGACTTAAGTCTAAAACTTGAAGCATTTTGCAGTTGAAAAAGTCATCCGGGATTTCACCAGAGAGCTCATTTCCCCCCAAAGATAGGTAGCTGAGATTCCCTAACTGCCCCAACCCTTGCGGAATTCTTCCAGAGATCCTATTATTAGTGAGAGTTATGGTCAGTAGACTTGTACAGTTGATGATACTAGAAGGAATTGGCCCTTCCAAGAGGTTATCGTTCATCGTAAGGTTAAGCAAATTGTATAACATTCCTATGTCAGAAGGGATTGGTCCTGAGAAAGAATTGAACCCAAGGGAGAGATATGTTAAGGTTGTCACCTTTGTTATGGATGGAGGAACAGGGCCAGTGAACCTATTTGAGTGGAGGGTAAGAACTTGTAGTGATGGTAAGGATCCCAAAGCAGAAGGAATGTGCCCAGATAACTCATTCTGCGACAGCCCCAAAACAGTTAATAGTTTCAATTTAAACAACTCTCCAGGAATCGTGGAGTTCAGCTGATTCTTGTACAACCTTAAAATTTCCAAATTTTCTAAATTTCCCATCTCAGGAGGAATAAGGCCCGTGAAGTGATTGTTGTACATGTTCAAAATAGATAGATTCCTACATAAACCAATCTGAGATGGGATATTCCCTGAAAGGAGATTCAAATGCAACTGAAGAAAACGTAAACTGGACATGTTACCTATTTCTGGAGGTAAAGGTCCTGATAATTGGTTTTGGCTAAGATCGAAAGCCTGCAAATTTGTCAGCATCCCAATGGATTTGGGTATGGGTCCAGCTAAGTTGTTACCATAGGCAACAAGAATCTCAATCTGAACTAAATGACCAATATTTTCGGGTAATT